CAGTTTTGATATAATCAAGAATGTTGTTATTTTTAAAGGCTAAAGAATATAGTTGGTCAACAACTTCATAAGGACAAGAAAATTTAAATTTTGTTATTTTTCCCATAATTTCAATAAAGTTCTGTTTTAAATCGATTTTTGCACCAATATTTCTTAGAACCTTTTGATCTAAAATTGCATCAAAATTCTTATTTTTTAAATTAATTACCTTCCAAAATATTTGAGCTTTATGATTAAATTCGATAAGAACAACAGTTATTAATGTATAATAAATTTTGCTCTTTCCAAATAAAGTGTTTAGTTCTACAGGCTCCCTTAATTTTGTCTTTGTAATTTCGGGGAATAGTGAATCGTTAATAATAGAAGTTGTACAGTCTGTGTCAATCAAACAATTAAATTTTTTATTACCAATAGTAAATTCTACTATTGGTAGAGTGTTGTCCGAGGCTGTAAATGAAAATTTTCTTCAGATGGGGAATTTTGTGATACTAAATTAACATCAACATCCATCGGTTCTGGCGGTATTATTTTTATTATTATTAAAATTTATTTTTCTGTTAAATCTGTTTTGCCCGGAGTTATTATAATTATTATTAAAATTTCTATTAAGGTTAGAAACGTTGCGATTACCGCTATTGTTGTTATTATTATTATTATATCTGTTATTATTGAAATAGTTATTGCCCTGACTATTGTTACGGTTATAAAAATTATGGTTGTTATTTATTATTATTATATCCTGCACTTCGTGAAGGGTATATTAACTTTGGTATGGAGTTTGTAACTACTTGAAGGAGTCATCTGCGGTATGGACATATATATATATTCTTGCTCAGCGTAAAATTCTGCGTCGATTTAGACATGTCCGTCCGTCCGTCCGTCCGTCCGTCCGTCTGTCCCTCCGTCCGTCCGTCCGATCGCACGATAACTCAAAAACGAATAATGCAATCGACACCAAACTTTCACAAGTTTTTTCTTTTGTGCCAAGGACGAACCCTATTGTTATTGGACTAAGTCGGACAACGGGTTCGGGTAGCTGCCATACAACTCCAAGAGTTTATTTTAAATATTTCAAAAACTAATAAAGCTATAAATATAAAATTTTGTATACATGTGTCCAATTATATTCTACACATGCTCTAAAAATTATAATGGGATAGCTGCACCGGTTCGGGTGGCTGCCATACAACTCCAATAGCAAATTTTTTATATTCGGCAAAATAATAAAGTCAGATTCATGAAACTTGGCAGTTGTGTGTCCGATTATAGATCAGATATATTTGTGAAGTTTTAGTAGAATTGCTTGACAGGTTCGGGTGCCTGCCATACAACTCCAGAAGCTAATTTTAAATATTTGGAAAAATAATAAAGTCAGATTCATGAAACTTGGCATTCATGTGTCCAATTATGGCTCAAATATATTTCTGAAGTTTTGGTGGAATTGCTCGACAGGTTCGAGTAGCTCTCATACAAGTCTAAAAGCTTATTTTAAATATTTGGAAAAATAATAAAGTCAAATTCATGAGACATGGCTGTTGTTGTCGAGTTATAGGTCAGATATATTTCTGAAGTTTTAGTGGAATTGCTTGACAGGTTCGGGGACTTGCCAAACAACTCCAAAAGCTTATTTTAAATATTTGGAAAAATAATAAAGTCAGATTCATGAAACTTGGCAGTTGTTCTCGAGTTATAGGTCAGATATATTTCTGAAGTTTTGGTGGAATTGCTTGACAGGTTCGAGTAGCTCCCATACAAGTCTAAAAGCTTATTTTAAAAATTTGGAAAAATAATAAAGTCAGATTCATGAGACTTCGCAATCGTGTGTCCAATTATAGGTCAGACATATTTCTAAAGTTTTGGTGCGATTGCTTGACAGGTTCGAGTAGCTACCATGCAAGTCTAAAAGCTTATTCTTAATATTTGGAAAAATAATAAAGTCAGATTCATGAAACTTGGCAGTTGTGTGTCCGATTATAGATCAGATATATTTGTGAAGTTTTGATGGAATTGCTTGTCAGGTTCAGGTACTTGCCATAAAACTCCAAAAGCTTATTTTACATATTTGGAAAAATAATAAAGTCAGATTCATGAAACTTGGAAGTTGTGTGTCCGATTATAGATCAGATATATTTGTGAAGTTTTAGTGGAATTGCTTGACAGGTTCGGATACTTGCCATACAACTCCAAAAGCTTATTTTACATATTTGGAAAAATAATAAAGTCAGATACCTGAAACTTGGCAGTTGTGTGTCCGATTATAGATCAGATATATTTGTGAAGTTTTGATGGAATTGCTTGGCAGGTTCAGGTACTTACCATACAACTCCAAAAGCTAATTTTAAATATTTGGAAAAATTATAAGGTCAGATTCATGAAACTTGGCAGTCGGATGTCCAATTATAGGTCAGACATGTCTGAGAAGTTTCTATAGAATGATTTCAGAGCTTCGAGTAATCGCTACACAATAACGAAAGGTGCAGGATATAATTCAATCGGTTTATACCGACTGAAACGTTTTTACTTGTTTTTTTTTTTCTTTTTGTGTTCTTTCTTTTTCTAAACAAAAGTTTGATATGGCTTTTAAAGTTTTATTAACCACTTACTTTTGTTTATTTTATTATATATTGAAAACTAAAAGCTTTTTTTTGTTGTTCTTTAATCGCTACAAGTTTTTAAAAAAACACTAAAGTCACTACAACTGTTTTTAGTTATAATAGTTGCAAGACATTAGCTGGCGATCCTACCGTTGCTGCGCCAGTTTAATTTTGTTCGTTAACAGGAATTGTTTATTTTATGTTTATTATTGATATTATTATTTTCCGTAATAATTTTAATAAAACACAATATTTATTTTATTTAACTTTTAATTTCAGTAATATGTAATAAAAAAAAGAAAGAAATTTAACACAAAAAGTATTCTTTATTTTAATTTCTTAAAATAGATCTTTATTTTCTTATGGCTAGTCTTAAATAAATATTATATAATTTCATTCAATAATTGTACAATTGAAATTGATAATGTAAAATTTGCAAACAGGAATAGAGAATTCAAACAAAATATTGTAATACCAAACTATTTTCAAATGAAAAATATGACAAATAGAATTAAATTAGAAACTTTAAATTTAGAACAAATAAAAAATAATGAAGAAATTAAGGAGCTACATTACAAAAGAAAAATTAACGATCATTTTACTTATACCAATTTAATTCTTGTTGTAATTATAATAATAATTTTATATGTCTTAATATGTTTTCAAATTAAAATAAGTAAAGGAAAGATATTCCAAATTAATACAAAAAAGATTGATACTGAAAAAATTGTACAGGAGTACAAAAATCTTAACGAGGGGGGAGTTATATATCCAACTAACCAAACACTTGCAGAAATTATAGAGTCAAATTCAAAGATTTCTGTTGATTCTGAAAATTAATATTATTCTCATAAAAATTTTATTCTCATGAAAATTTAAAATTCAAAATTTTAATTTTTGTTTTTTTATTATATTTTTTTTTTCTCATTTTACTCTAAAATTATTTCACACGGTTTTGACCAAATAAGTAAAGTAATAGTTTTTTCATAATTTTCATAAATCTCAAATTTCAAGTCTAATTTCGACAGCACTTAAAAACAACCAGACGATATTAGAACCTTTTTTGTTTTTTTCCTTTTCTTATGAAATATTGTGAAACTATCAGAATAGGAATTATTTTTATAAAAGTAAATTTTTTAGTTTAAGACTAGCCATAAGAAAATAAAGATATATGTTAAGAAATTGAAATAAGGAATATTTTTTGTGTTAAATTTCTTTCTTTTTTTTTATTACATATTATTGAAATTAAAAGTTAAATAAAATAAATATTGTGTTTTATTAAAATTATTACGGAAAATAATAATATCAATAATAAACATAAAATAAACAATTCCGGTTAACGAACAAAATTAAACTTGCGCAATAGAGATATTCATAGTAGTATTATAGATAGTTTTGATGACAGGTTGAGTCCGTCTATCTTTGGCTTTCGATGATTTTTACCACTTGTATTTAAAAATAGATAGGAGATAGAGTTTCACACTTGCTACTCATTTGCTTATTAGATCTTGCTCAACTCTTCACCCGCGGATCTTTAGGTTCAAGGTCTTCCTGTACTCGCCAAGGTCTTGTTCTACTCTTCACCCGCGCTCATGGTACGAACGCGGAGATAACTTGGAGGATGCGATTGTTATCTCCCAGCTTCACAGTTAATTCTGGGTCATTCCAACCACTCAATGTTAGTGCCTGTTTTACCAGCCATCTTGCAGTGTCTTCGTGTGTACAATCCACGAGAATCATCTCCGGTTTGAAGTGAATTCCCTCAAACTGGATGACCTCGTTCCAGCCCTTGGTTAACTTGTCGAAGCTAGTTTTCTTCAACATGGATAGCTCATGCTGTGTCATCGTTACGAAAGAGTAGTTCCTCGCCAAAACAGCGTGCTTTACGACCTTGACGGTCGCATCATAGCTGAGACTAAGAGTAGCACCCGGAGCGGGATGTGCGATATTCTGTCTCGCTTCATTTGAGCAGTCTTTTTTTTCGCATCCGCCTCCTGGAGTCTCAAAAATTCTCGTTCTCTTTTCCATCCAGACATCCTGGTTTCCTCAACAGCGGCAAGTGGGGTTGTTTCTTCCCTCTCCTTTTTAATACTGTTAATACTACTTTTTAATTCTGTTTAATTTACAATTTATATTAGAATAAATATATAAACAAATAAATAAAAAAAAGTCTAAGCTTTAAAATTTTGAAGAGATAATTTCAATATCCTTCAATACAAGTTGTTTCCTTTTCAGCAACAATGCAACTTTAGATTAAACTATAATTCTATTAGTTGCTAAAATTGATACTTTCTTAAATTTAATAATATTCAGTTAAAAATAAAGAAAAGTATTCCTGATATGCATATGCATGTATCTGTATCATTTTAAAATTTTAAATATATTGCAATTTTAATTTCTCTATAGAATCGCTGCTGCCGACTCTACCTATTGCTTCGCCTGATCTTTTCGAAAATTTAATAAATGTTGACGATTTCCAGAATGAAAAACAACAGAAACAAGGAGAAGAAGAAAGTGAACTATGCCCTGAAGTTACTAAAAATGAAAATGAAATACTTAACAGTATAAAACACTTTCTTAATAACACCAAGGCAATCAACCTCGAAATTAAATTTCAGAGTCAACTAGAAAATTTGATAGTTTTGAACAGGAATAAAATACTGAATTTTTGTCACAACAAAAACTCTTGCAAACATAAAGTTCGTGGTCTCGTTTCATTCGAAGACATTACAAAGATAAGTTGGCCGCAAACGTTGTCCCTCAAATATTATGGGGTTAATTATAATTTATCAACTAGAACAGAGGAAATAGAGTACTTATACCTTTCAATTATTGATCGTTTTGTAAAATCTGAAACAAGAAGTTCATTTAAATCATCTCCAAATAATAAAATAAAGAAACATTTTGGAGCAGTACCCCAGTCACCAAGAAGTCGTTTAAGTCATTTAGCTAAAAGACGAGCAACGTTTTCTTCCGAAAATTTGTTGGTGGCTTCTCAAAAAACTAAAAATGCAATTAGAAAAAAGCAAATTGCTATGACTTCTATAAAATCGCAACCAGTTTTAAAGAATAAGGTAATTACGCCTAGAAAAAAAATTGTGATAAACAACAATAATACAAACTATTGTACACCATCGTCTATTAAAAGGTCAAAAGACTCTACAGATTGCGATAATATTTTCTCAAAAACAACGTCAAATCAAATACTTTTTTCTAGTTCTTTACAAAGTGTTTCTGTATTTACTCAAAAATCAGAATGTATGACTCATCCACACGTAGCATATCGCATTGAAAAATCCAAGCGAGCCTTGTTTTCGCCTGAAAATTTGAAGCAAAAACCATTCGAGAAAAAACACCTTCTAGAAAAAGAACCCTTTTTGAAAAAGAGAAAAATCACACACGCTGAAGCAAATTCTGAAGAATTGTCAGATAATGATTTCGCAAAACCATTGAAATGCAAAAGCCAGAATTATTGCGAAGATTTAGTTCAATTTTCGTCTTCTATCACTCAAGAAAATTCCCTAAAACAGTGTAGCTCAGACACTAATTTTTCGAATCAATTAAGTGACAGTCACAAAAAGAAACTTTTATGGGCTGTGTCAAAAGCTTTGCAAAACCAGAAAATTGGTGTTAGCCACCCTAAATTTAAAAGTTATGTGTCTACCTTAGCAAGAGCGGTTAAACGTTTATTTTTGCAGTTTTATAAAAAAAGAAATAGCACAAGCGAAGTTTTGTTAAAATTATCTAAAAAATATGTTTATAGTGTTATAAATGAAAAAACTGCAGATGAAATTTATTTAATGGAAAAAATTGAATTTGAAAATCGAACACAGGGTATAAAGACGGTATTTTCAGGACATCCGATGCCCCTTTTGGAAAAAGGTGCAATTCCAAATACAAAACAGTCTTCAGCATACTTGACATCAAACGATTTTATCGAACGTATTTATGATTCTACGTTAAATTTGAATAACGATATTGTAAGAAACGACGAAAATAAATCTAATAAGTTTCCAATTTTTATGATTCGTTCCAATTCAGCACTCCAAAGTAGTGCATCAAAAAAACACTTAGATATAATAAAAATTGATAACAATACATATATCGAACGAAAATCGGGGAGGAAATGTTTTACTGGAAAGGACGAAAGTAATATTAGTCCTTGTTTAGAAAAATCTTACAATAGAATTAATTTTAACGATCTCCCAAATACTGCTAAAAGTCGTAATTTTATGAGTGCAAAACGACGCATATCATTCGATGAGTAACTTGGTTGAGATATTCGAAAACTGTGTTTTGATGAAAACGAATCAAAATTGCACATAATTAATGTTTTGTAATAATTGCACATAATTAAGTGATAACAATTTTGTATAAGTTGTTGTAGGACAAATAAGATAATGTTCTTTAGCTTTTCAACCACGTTTCGATTTAATTTTAAATTTTCACCAGAGCTATCAAAATAATAATTTAATATGACAATAATGTTTTTACAATATTTTATACATTTCCTATATGTACACTTGCATTAAGTTATTGAACAAATTTTAATTTTATGTTAACATAATTGATATCACTCTTAATAGCTCTAACTAATGCCATATATATCTACAGGCCATCAAACTCAGAGAGCAAATCAAAAATAAATTCCAAATTTAAGTTGGTAAGTGAAGAAAGTTGGTCAAAATTTTTGGCTCTACTGATTCTACATATTTTTTGAAATTTAAAATTGAAATTTCAAAAAAATCGGTTGGTAAATTCCATCTCAAAAATGCACTTAAAAGAAAAAAAAATTGCAATTTTTAGCGCAGACAACCTGGTCTTCCCAACTGAAGGGTACTGAATTACAGAATAAAATTTTTGAATAAGAAATAGAATTTAAAAAAAAATTGAAGAAAAAAACAAAAACATAATAATTATAATCTAAATGGCTTTTAAAATCATACTAAATAAAATGAGAATTATAAAGAATACTCAAAAACTTCACAAAAAAAAAATAAAAAAATATTTCAATCGGCATACTTCGAAAACATAAAACATTGAAATTTTGAATCGGAAAAAAATACAAAACATAAGAATTGTTTTTGTATTTTTAGATTCAAAATTTCGGAAAATATTATAAACTTGAAGGCCTGATAGATATATATGGCATTAGCTCTAATCATTAAATTTAATAAAATTCATAAAATCATCAACTATTGTATTTTAAAAAATAACATATAAGTAAACAACTAAAATAAATTAACACAAATTGTAAATGAAACAAAACTAGACTTTTACAAAACTTAAACTATGTACGTTATAATAAAAATAAAAATATTACAAATCAGCTATTTGTTGTTTTGATCTATTATTTGTTATACTGAGGTTACCGCTTGTTTTAATTTTTGGGAAATTCATAAGTAGATTTATAAAATAAATTTAAGTTATTGTATCCGTTTTGTAATTTTTGTTTCTGTTTAATGCTGCGACTATCATTTCGTTTAATGCTGCGACTATCATTTCGCTTATTTTTTTTGCACCAATTTTTTTTCCTGTCTACTATTTTCCTTGAAGTTAAAAATATGATTACGGTTACTAAAATGATATTGTGCCAGTGCCTATTTTTTCTGTTTTATTATTGCTTTATATTTTGCAATCATATTTATGTTGAGTTAATTTATTTTGCAGATATTGTTTTGTTTGTTCTACAAAGCAGGATTCGAATTCTTGGCTATTTATTTTATATATTAAACTAGTCGTGTGTGCTTGCATTGCAAGCCTTGCAAGTATGATGCCTGTAGTTTTGAAATTGTGTTCCATTCTGTGGCTGAGATATTTTAAGTTTACTTTATTTCTTCAAAAACACACCCATAATATACATATAGATATGTTTTTTCCTGATAAATAATAAGATAAAACTTAAAACTTAAAATAAAAAAGTTCTGAGAAATAATTACCCAAAAATACATAATTAAACAAATAATTAGTTCCTTTGAAATCTAATACCTTTTGAGTAATTTATTTTAAAACTTCACTTTGAGTTATGTCGCATAAAATCGTAAAATACCTTCTACAATAAACACTTTTAGCCATAAATTATTGTTAATTATAAACTACAATTCATGCACGTATGTATTTGGAGTTTATAATACATGCGAATAAAACGCGTGACTGTAGAATGAGTTAACACCAATACTAACGTATATAGGGTAATACGTATTGCATACGATTTCTATGCAAAAAGTCTCAGGTTCGAACCCTGCAAAATGCGATTTGCCAGATCAACTTTTTTTATTGATAATTTTATTTTTTTTTAAAATAAAATTAAAAAACCTTCACCCTTACCAAATCAATATCAGCGAGTTTCCGTTCTAAAACTTTTACCCTACTTGTAAAAAGTTTAATGCAATAGAATAACATTTTCTTATAAAATTTTACCCTAAAAATATATTGTCAAGGAGTTTAATGTAAACTTATGTTTTGCTTTCTAATACATGTTGCAACAGATCCCGAGAAGAATGCACAACTAAATTCATATGTACACACTTATTATAAAACAATGTAGATTTTATTAAAACAATTTTCTTAAGAAAGTTTTCATTTTTTGTTATAACTCACACTTCCAAAAATGAATTTATATACAATATTAATACTTCCAAAAGTAAGTAAAAAATTACCCCTACAGGATGTAAAACCATTTTGTAAAAAACGGTTACAAAACATCTTGGGAGGGGGTGAAGGGGGAGGGCGGGTGGAATTCTTGCTTTTTCTGGTACCCTAGAGGCAAAATTCTACCTAATGCCTTTTGTCCCATGTCTCTAGCCCTTCTAGAAGTACCCGTACTTTTTACCACCTGAGAAGTAGCTATATATATATAATGTAAAATATGATGGTTTTTGATGAGTTATACGATATATGAATAAAATGTAGAATTATTAAGGGAAATTCAAGGTACTGCGTAGCCTAGTGGTTAGCGTGGTAGTCTCATAGCCAGAAGGTTATTGGATCAATGCTTGCCTGGATTGTTGTATTTTTCTTTTTTTGGATTATTTTAAAAATTTTTTTTTTTATTTTGTTTAAATTTTGTGTTTTATTTTTTTTTAATATATAACTGATAAATGTTATATAAAAGTTTAAAGAAAATTTCCAAAAAAATATTCTTATAATAGTTTGGAAAAATTCGCAAAAATTTTAAGTACATAAATATGTATGTAGTATGTATATTTTTTTTAAAGCTTACTGAGTAATTTTTTTAAGCTTTCTATATGAATTTAATAATATTCAAAACTGTAGAATAAATAGAAATAAATTTTAAACGCATAATTATTATATCATGGGGGTAAACTTACAAAAATTAATTTCTCAAATAAAGAAAAGGTTTAGTCAAAAACAAAATAATAATTTATGTATGTAAAAATATGTGCATGAATGTATATATGAATATATGTGTGTATGTATGTATATATGAATGTATTGGAATTTAGCATTTTTTACAGGTTTTCGCTCGAACAATAAAAATAAAATTTTAGGTAGATACATACGTACATAAATTGTGTATGTATATTTTTTTAAAGCTTGCTGACGAAACATAATATTCAAAACAATAACAAATGAAGCATTAATATTCAGTTGCCACAAAACATCTGATGTCTTTTATAAAATCTGACATTTATTTAAGTTTATTTCGATTTTTCGAAATTAAAATATATGTGAGATCATTGCATTTTCAAATATTATTTATTTCTCGGTTTGTGTTTCTAATAATAAAAATAACGTAAAACGTATCATTTATTTCTTGGTTTGTGTTTCTAATTATAAAAAGTATAAAAGAAAAACGTGCTTTTGTTATACAAAAATTTTTTCAGAAAATCTTAAAATAGAGCTATTTCGGGGCTAAAAAGTTCCAATGTCAGATTTTTCTGGTACCCTAGAGGCAAAATTCTACCTAATGCCTTTTGTCCCATGTCTCTAGCCCTTCTAGAAGTACCCGTACTTTTTACCACCTGAGAAGTAGCTATATATATATAATGCGAAATATTCATTTTGTCTTCTGTACTTTTATTTATGTGTAAAGAGTGTTTACTGTGTTTTTGTTGTAGAAAATTAGTTTGTTGTTTTGCGTGTACGGCTTAAAGACATTTTTGATTTATATGCTATTTTGGGAATATGTAGAAATTTAAAAAATTTGGTACTGTGTGCATTTAGGAAATATGTTTGTCGTATTCTCCTAGTCTTTGTATTTCTTAATTATTTGATATACGAAACATTTCAGATAATTATTAGTTTTCAATAATTCTTTCATTTCTATGTATTTCTATGTTTCAATAGCAACATAGAAAACATTTCTATGTATATATTTCTTTTCTATGTATTTTTGAAAGTTTAATAAAATTTTTATCTAATATATTTTTTTATATATCATAACATATTCATAGAAACGGTTTAAAAATTAAAAGAAAAAATAGTTTTCTTTTAATTTTCACTCGATTGACTGATTGTTTTGTTGGTAACAAGTAAACTGAATTTTATTGATTTTACAAAAATTTAAAACCATCTTAACACTACGAAAATTATACAAAACAAAAATACTTTTCTTATTTTAGAACATATTATAAAATTATTGTTAATTTTGTTTATTTTTGAAATAAAACTCTTTGTCAATATGCAAACCAAAATGTTAGTCGTTTGTCATTATGCATTGTATCACATTTGTTATTAAAAACATTGTAAAATCAATAATAAGAAAAAAAGGTCGTTCGTTCACATTGATGTAATTGTCCTAAGCAATAAATTTTGTAAGAAAAATAATTAAGATGTAAGAAAAATAATTAAAAAAAAAACTAAAAGAAAGAAAGTAATGATTAGAAATTGTTATTGAATTTGTTACAATTTTAATGGGTAAATTAAAAGAACAATATTTGTATTGTTATTATTCTTATTAGGGTTTTCAGTATGAATCATATATGGTTTTCAGTATTTCGAGTAGATGTAGATGTAACTCTTCCCCCCTTAAGATTCGACTCTATGCGAATACTTTTTAGTTCAACGTTTATTTTTACGACATTATTACGATAAAAAAACGTTATAAAAACGTGAATTCAAGTTGTGGCATTGGTGGTAACGTCTGTATACCACCTCCAAGTATTCTCAGCTTTTATTTCTTGGATATGCTTAGTATTAATAATATGACTATATAGTAGAAATCTTGCAAATGGATTTCATTGGCAATTTTTTCGATCGTTCTACTATTCTGATCTACGTAAGGCAAGTGGTAAATTCTTAAACGTCAAATTTTACAAAATGTGTGTTGTCTGAGTTTACGAATACTCTACTGCGTTTTTACTTTCAGTCAAAGTTGAAATTCTTAAACGTTTAAAAAAAGTCAATTAAGCGTCAAAATTGTAGATTTTTTTTTTTGTTTGGGCTACCAAATACTTCGGCCCATATCTATACGGTCGCAAAATTTCAAATTTGTACTGATCACAAGCCGTTGCAATGGTTTCATAATTTAAGGGAACATTGAATATTTACAAGGGAAGGAAACTCATGTCGCCGACGCGTTGTCGCGCATGGAATAATGCAAATGATTTTCTACTCGAGCAACTATTCGAGCAGTGTAAAAAATTGAAAAGAAACAACATGTAAAAAATAGAAATGAACTAGAAGAAATTATTTTGGTACAGCAAATCAAATCATAGAGAAATGAACGATGTTTATTTCAATTTACTAGAAAATTTTTATTATCCTAAATTTAAAATCGAAATTCAGAAGGAAATAAATAATTGTCATGTCTGCAATGTAGCCAAATATGAGAGAAATCCGCTGAAACTACCTTTAAAAATTACGGAAACCCCAAATAAACCATTGCAATTAGCCAATATGGACGTCTGGTTTCATTGCAAAGTAGAGCCTATTTAACATTTATCGATAAGTTCACGAAACATGCCCTATAATATAATTATACCTATAAGTTCAAGAAATTGGATTGATCTGAAAAATGGGTTTTTGCAATATATTGGTTCCTTTGGTAAACCAATCAAAATTATAACTGATCAAAAAAAAGGTTTCACAAGTTTGAACCTTCGAAACTTTCTGAAAAATGAAGGTATAGACATCCACTTCAACCAGTAACGCAGATATCGAAATATTTCATAACACATTGAATGAACATCTTCGAATTTTGAGTATCGTCAAAAAAGAACAACGCACACCATTGGACGAAGACCCAATAATTAGAAGTCTGAAAACTTATAATGAGACAATTCACTCCTCAACTAGGCGAAGACCTATTGATTTCCTTAACGGAACAATCACTCAAGATCAATGCCAAACCATTCATA